ATATTCATACATCTAGCCTAAGTGCCTTGCATTTTTGACCAACATCTGGCCTCAATAGCTTCGCTTTCACGCAAGTTACGGGAACAGATGGGACTGCTAATGTAACGTGAATGGTGCGCAATGGTTCGTTGACTATAGCGTAAATCGGGTACTTCATTTTTGACCACGCAAGGCCACAGAGTGAATTATAGACTACTACTTCAACGATCCGCTCAAGAAGGTAAAATTCAGAGTATCTCTAACTGTTCGCTGCTCACATGATCTTTCAGTTTATGGTGAGTACTGCGCTGCAACTCGAACTTTGTGCGTCCATAGTTATCCAGCATTTTGGCGACAAAATTGTGGAAAACTGCAGTTCGATAAACGACGCGAAATTTGGGTACTTTAAAATTTCTGCTGAGCCACGGTTTCTAGCATTGATGAACTTGGTACTGGGCAAAACGTCTCCATGACGGTTACTGGCAGTTTTGCAAAGGTTCTTCTTTTAACTATGTTTCTTTTGCATTTTGCCCTTATATCGTTGTCGTTTTTCTGTTGTAGACGTGGGTGTCATTCTGCTGCGGTCCCACTTTCAATCTGTTGGCCTCGGTAATAACGTTGGCGGCTGAACTCTTTGGGTCCTTCTATGACGAGTCAAATGCAACTTGAGGCTATTCTACTTGTTTAAGGACATGTAAGGATTTTTACGTTAGTACGTATCATGAGGTTTTCTGCTGGTATCACAAAGGTTGTTGCGCACTCTGAGCAAACCATTACGCATTGCTACCACCCAGGGAAAACTTGCGGTTTATATGCGTTTCTTGCTGCGCGCAGAAAACGAAGATGCCCGCTTCCACCTGTAGTAATTTCTAAGCACTGGAAACTAGCACATTAAGGATGCGTTAGCCGAGCTTGTCTTTTGTCCTTCGCGCAACGTTAATGAGGATTTGATTTTAAACTCTTTGAATATTGCGAATGAGGACGCTGTAGCGGTCCGTCCCTTTGCTGACAGTCCATCAGTTGATGAGCCGTTCATTCTACCGGACACTCAGTTCCCATGGCGGTAAGCTAAGCAGATGCCTCGGTCGGAAGACGAGTCAGGGGCTCCTGGGCGAGAAACTAATGCTTATAAGAGGCAGGGAAGACATGCAAACCCACCGCCTCCAGCCCGGGAGGTGAAACAACGCTCTTGCTGCCATGGTGTGCTGATATATATATATATATATATATATATATATAACACTATGCCAATTACAATATGATTGTCTGTGACAAAACCCACAAGAAGAAAAAAGGATTGCATGAAAAGGAAAACAAATATTAGGGTTGTAGTGTCTCAAAGCAAGTGCGCCATTGCGTACGGTCCTTGGCCGTATCCTCCAGCGTTTGCAACCAGGTGTGCTCGAAGTCCTTTGGTCCTCAACCCGGGAGTCGGGAAGGCCCGACAACAGCCAGCTTTAACGTTTGCGCCTTGACACATTGGATCCAAGTTCTACATTGCTTTTTTTCATCGCTTCTGAGCCACGCCTGTGCTCGCAAATAGGGCTTGTCGTGGTAGCCGCTGGGTAGGCACGCGAAGCACATGGCCAAGCCAGCGAAGTCTCTGCATTGTGATAATGCTGTCAATCGATCGGCGGAGTTCGTTAGATCTGAAGGCTCACCGACGGATTTCCTAATTATTGATGTGATGCTGCCATCGAACACCAGCAATGCTTCGCAGACAGCGGTGATCGAAGACTGATAGCCGCTGAACATCGCTTTTGCGAACGGGCTGTCACACAGCCATACAGCAGAATCGCTCGTACCGTAGCATTATAGACTCGTCCCTTGAGTGCGAGACTGAGATCACGATGAAGCCACAGGTGACGAATGTTAGCGAAAGCGACTCTAGCCTATGAGACACGCAGAGAGATCACATCTGCCACACCGCCAATACCAAGCCAACTCCCAATATGAAAGAGTTGGTCGACCACTTCAAATTGGTACCCCGAAAGGGTGAGAGAAGAACATGCGCTTGGGCAGTTCTGTACTAGGACATTACATTTGGAAGGGGCAAAGCTCAATCCAAATTGGGCAGTGGACATCTCCAGTCTGAGCGGCACATGCTGGGCTGTTTGAGAAGACTCGCAAAGCACAGCGATGTCATCGGCGTACTCCAAGTCCCGAAGGTGGTCACTAGGGAGCAGTTCAACACCGCAGGACTCAGTTATCCACGGCAATATCCAGGATGTCGTCCATGGCGAAGTTGATCACGAATGGTGAGGCTGGCAAGCCTGTCTAAAACCGCTAGCTCAACTGAAAGGGGTGAAATTTCTCCGTATTATAGCACGCGACCGGACGTTTGATAGTAAATGGCACGGAGAATGCTGACCTACTTCTCAGATGCTCCTCTCTTCAGTAAGTACTCTCAAAGCGCCACGCTGGCAACAGAGTCAAAGACGGCTCGAATATCCAAGAATACGACTATAGTTGGTCTGAACGTATGGCGATGTTCAAGTGGCCGGCGGAGCGTAAAGATGTGATCGACGCAAATGCGACCTGGGCGAAATCCAGCTTATTGTTCACGCAGGTGCTGTTCTCGTACGCATCTGGGTTTCCGTAAGTATAGGGCAGCGAGCAGTTTAGAGGTGACACAAATAAGACTGAAGCCACGATGTTGGGTTTAAATAGTTCGGTTCCCTTTTGGTAAACAGGCATGACGTCCGCTTAATTCCAGTCGGCTGGAATGGTTCCCGTAGTCCACCTCTAATGGAATAGAGATGTCAGTTCGCGAGTGAGAGCAAGATCTCCATATTTGAAGAGGGCAGGAGGAAGTTCAACTGGGCCAGGTGATTCGTGAAGCTTTAGTAGACGAGGCTCAATGAAAACCTCAGCCTCTGTCGATGGAGCAAGATCCACGCACCGGGGAGCACTGTGAACCCCGGAAGATAGACTCGTTTGCACTGCTGGTCAGTTGAATTGATCTTCAAAGTGCTCTGCCCATTGTACCAAACGACGGTGACCACTGTGAATTAGATCACCGTCATTTTCACGCTAAACCTCACTCACTGTTGGTCTTCTGTCTCCTGTGGAGCGAATGAGTTGGAAGAGTTTGCGGGAGTTTCCTTATGAGGCTGCCCGCCCCATCTTAACGACGCGCTGTGTCCACCAAACCTCGCGATCCTTCCTGAGGAGCTTTCTTAGCTGAGCACCTTTGGTTCTGCCTGGTGCGTTGTACTCAATTCCGGCTGGAATTGTTCGACGACTTTTCATTAATTGGAGAGACTGTGTGGCGATCCAATGACTAACAGCTTGTCCAGTAAAGTCGCAGACCAGCGTAGCGGAGTTTCGTAAGGCGCTCCGGATATGTGCCTAGTGTGTCTCAACTTCGGAGGATGGAGAACATAAAGGTTGGAGGCTAATGTTCTGAAATGCGCCGAGAACATTTGGAACAGCGAGCTTGTCTGTTAAACCGTTTCTGGCGACGCTGCTGGGTGCGTCCAACGTGCAGAACGAACTTAGCACACACGAGCGCATGATTGGAAGCCAGGTAAGTGTTCCGTATTGACTTGCAGTCTGTTGCGTAGCCTCGCCACCCGTAACTAAGCAATGTGGTCAATTTGCGTCCAAGATTGACCAGGCGCCGGAGGTCGTCAGGTGGCTCGTTAACGCCAGGAACGTCGGAAATTGGTGCTGGAGATGATCAAGCCGTGGTCGGCGCAGAGTTGTAGGAAGCAATCGCCTATATCCGTGCTGCAACAACCGTGGCTGTGTTAACCCCTAAGTTCACGCTCACGAACTAGTCTACTGGCCTGCGCATTTAGATCATCAGCGCGTATCACGGTGTCTGTGTGACGTTATTTGCAGTGGCAGTCGATGAGCTGACGGTCGATCTCGTCTTTAGCTTTGTCCGGGCTGCAATCCGTTAGAGTGCACGCCGCCACAATGAATAGGCAGCGCCTACTGGTCCCGTGGCTAGAAGATCGCACTGGGCTTTCCAAGCGGACTGCACGAAGACTACTGTTGACTGAGAACCAGTCGGTGAGCGCTGCCTCAGCACGCGCGCTTAACGCAACTCCTACGCCGGCGCAACCAGGGGCTGCCGCTGTCGTATCTCCAGATAAGCGCAAGGTGAATGTGCAATTAGAACTTGGGGGGGGGGGCAATCGCAGCGTTGTGCTGGAGTCTTGTAAACGGGTTTCGGTTAGGCAGCAAACGTTGATTGAGAGGGTTTCCAAGGTTCGTACAAGAGCAGCTTGTGAACCAACCTACATGAGCGTTCGAGCGTTGAACTTAGCTAGCTTGAAGAGCGAGCGGGTTGCAATAACAGCTTTGCTGTTTGTATTGGAATGTGTGCGATCGGTTTTGAGCGGTTCGTTGAGGAGGCCAGAGGTACCGTTTTTATTTGCAGTGCGCCTTTGGAGACTCGAAATTTAAGGCGGGTTTCCAAGAACTGGTGGTTCGTACAAAAATGGAAGGAGAAACGTGGTTTGCGGTTCGGTAGAGTCAGATTTGATATGCCGGGCCGACAGCACCCCGGCCGAAGAGTGAGAGTTCAGAGGGCGAGACACATGAGCAGAAGGTTGTAAATCCATCATTTTACGTGCTGTGTGGGCATACAACTGCCCGGTTGTCTAGGTCGAGGTAGGGGTTGACTTAAGTGGCCTACTTGGTCGAGAGAAATGAAAACCTTTAGCTTCGAAGCTGGCGCCGTCTGATGCGCCCCGACTACCTGGCTGAGGTATCAAGGATGATGGACGTGTTTGTTTGGGTACACTTGCTGCTATGGCAAGAGCCGACCTATGTGGCTTTTGTGTCGTGAGTCTCTTTGTCCCACCCCATCTCGCTTGTCTTCCTCCTCCAACCACGATCTCTCTCTTGACGTATAATACGTTACTAAATAGTGCGCTGCCTTTTGCATTCTATACTTTTCGCTATCTTGTTTTTTGTATGTATTGCGGTACATTAGTGAGGTGTTTCTCACCTTCAGCTTATGTGTACGGATAATTTCATCCCATAGCACATTCCTCCCCAGTCTTTCCATGTTACTCATCAAAAGGGATAGTGATCAAGTAATTTGGTACATCTGATCTTCCCAGTACCGACCAACATAAGCTGCTGACTACAACTTCATCGTAGAATCCTAAGGGATGGGCTCCGCTTACACAATCCATTGAGACCAAATGGCCTTCTGGCGATTTTCTCAACGATGGTGGCTGAATAACTGCGTCCAGGTGTGATAAAACTACTTTTATATCTTCAATCCCCTACTAATCAATTGATTTTTTTAAGTTGAGGTACGGCGCCATGCTCTTCATGGCCCATCCATTTGAAATTATATTTGCTTTATTGTCTACATATGTTAGTCACACTTGACCTTCAGCAGCAATCGATCGCCATTGAATGCTAATTATTCACCTGCTTATCCTCTTCCGTATTTTGTTCAGGGCAGTGGCCCTATACCCATCGCATTTCTCGCGGGGAGTCCGCGTCACACCCTGTCACCATCTGAACTCGAATCAACGTTAGCCTACCTGCGCGAGGCCGACCCCGATCATCTTTACTCTTTCCTGGATATTTGTGTACGTAATGCAGGTAGGTCACTGTAGCAGCTTGCGTCATTTTCTATTTTTATTTGCTTTTCTCTCTTATACCATCAAGTTACACTCTGTCTAAATTTTCAGTATCTCCAGGCGGTGTGCGGCAATCTACCCATTTGGTCAATTTGATCCGTGCATTAACCTCCCGAGAAGACTCTTTCAATCTGAAGGATATATGCACTGTACCAACCATAAACGCAGTCACCGAGTTCATCAAACGGTGCCCTAATGTAAGTAATTTTTCGGTCTGCAATCTATCAGAAATCGGTCAAGCTCGTGTTCTGATCCCCTGTTGGAAGGTTGAAAACAATAACAGTTTTTTTCTGTAATAATCCCTTGTTTACCAGAAAGGTTTCCTTCCGGCGTTGCTACGGAAACTTGATTGTTCTGTCTATATCGTTGGTATTGACTTCAACAAAAGTGACACGACATTTCTCAGGACACTTGGACCAAAAATACAGCATCCTTCGAGTACAGACGATATGTACCACTGTATTTTGTCTTCGCAAACAAAGCCCAATCGCTTTCTTCTCCACGGTGCACTTTCTTAGCCTGCTTACACCGCCACAATGTAAAGCTATCCCAGTCATTTCCCAGAAAACGTCATACTAGAACTGCAGATAGCTTGACTATTCTACAACCAGTATTATATCACTCCAAGGGACCCTGGTTTCATCTGTCAGTGTTTAGGGACGAGGATTTGTCCTTGTGTTTGCGCGCACCTTCTGCTTTGATGTATGCTACCCTATGTTGAGACTACTTCTTTTCTCTCTAGCGAAGCAACTTGGAATAAAGATAGGACGGGCATATAAATGCAAGCAACACTTCCGCAAGGGAAGCTCAGGTTGAGAGGTTTACATCTTCGAACTTTTTAAGCTACCACGATTGTCATCATAGCTGGAGACGTTTGATGCGGCTATATGGCTGCAATTCTCATAGGCGGCTTGATGACGTAAATGTGGACAAACCCAGTGCAAAGTTTTGTTCTTCCTCGTAGGATGCGTTCCCCTTGCTTTTCTTTGCCGGCACTGATCAGGTCGTCAATGTTGATTGCATCCATCTCTATCGGGAGCTAAAAGTGGAAAATAAGTGATGCCCTGACGCAGTATCACCATTTGTTCTCAACAGCTGCGCGGATTATCTCGCAACACATCTAACTGATGCCTTAGGAGTGCTACTGTTTTCTACAAACGAAGACTTGTTAGAATTACGCATGCTGTCGAGAAGGAATACCACAAATATTTCCCCATCACATATATGACAGTAATGTTGAAGGTTTTTAAGAAATTCCTTATTTCTCAGTTTTTTATAGGCATCCATGCAGAATATGTTTAGTAGTTGCTTTACAGACCTGATCAATCCACAGTAGATGTAAGGTTGCATCAGTTGTATTCATCGGAGAATGCAGATTAACACAGCTTTTTTCTCTACCATCCAATTTCTTTGACGTGCGTTGACGTATCAACCCTGCTCGGGAGTGATGTTCGGACAATTGTTTACAGGCTAATTATAAACCGCAGTCACTTTACCTAGCTGAATGGAACAAAATGCTTTACGTTTCGCTCCGATCTTGTTAGTTCACATGGAGAGCTTCTCTCCCTCTAGTTTATTTATGCATCGACTAACTCCTTATACCATCCATATTTATTGAGAACAAGCATGCTGGTGGTGGTCATTGGCAGCGAAGTCTTGTTATGTGGTGTGCCGGCGTACTACTATTGCCTCTACCCAAAATACAAAACATTTATGCGGGAGCAGTCGTTCTCCACTAGTTTTGTTAGCAACTGCGATGGACTTTTGACCGTTCAAGTTAGCTCACAACCTACACCACCGTCGATGTCAAATGGGTGATTTCTATATTTGCAAATGCATTTGTGGGAACATGTTGAGTGAAGTCCTCCACCATCTTGCTTGAGACTGTGAAACATTTGCTCTACAGCCATTTTACTATTACTGCAGTCCGGTACCACCAATATCACTGCAACCAAGGGCAGCGGTGACTTGTTCATTATTCAGGTAAGCAACTAAGACAAGCTAAGTGACATCAAGTTGGGCACTTGTATACAGCTACCAGGGTCATTGTTCGGTTTGTCGGATTCAGTATGATTTGTGCTTTAGCGTACACACGCAACGAATTCTTAGAGGAGATGCGACCGCTAATCTTGGTATTGTTGGTTCCTTTTGTCTTCCGGATTAGGGTTTGCGCAATCTACTCTCTACTTGACTGGAGACATTACAGGAAATAACGAGAATCAGCCGCATAGTATGGTGCACACTTGTTCCCTAGCTGGACTACTTAGTTAATCCATGTATGGTGCTGGGTTTTGGTTGCTCCAAGACCGTTCATATTGCGGAGTAGTGGAAGCGACATAAAATTCCCTTTATCTATCTTGCTTTTTTCACATGTCACCAACTGTGTAATTACGGTGTTTGAACTATCCTGCCGCTTCGCGTCCACAGGACGCTCGATATTTAGACAATGTGTTAGCCTCCCGTTTTCTATCTGTTCCTACTATAGAATTCGCTTTTTTTTCTTTATTTTATCGAACTGCCATCGTTATTTGCCAATTTATTACTTCTGTTCTTACGGCTATTAGTGTTATTTGGTCTATTCTTCTCACCTTTACAATTGTTCTGCTCACCCTTGCTTTTGCTTCTTCCTCTGGAGTCCGATGGTTACCGAGATCGGAACGTGCACTCGTGTGCAGTCTGTTACAATCATCTGCCCTACGTATTTCTATTATCTACAGTTTGAACCCATTCGGGTACATAGCGCTTCTTTCGACTTCTTTATTGGCCCTTCCATTGTGCCTTTTATTCTTATTACCGCTTGCAAATCCGTCGTACATTCTACGGTTTTTTTTCTTCAGATCCCGAGTGATGTTAAGGAACAACTTTCCGGTTTGGATAAACATTGGATTACTTCCATACGCTAAACTATACGTCGGCATTCTTTTTTCACCCCTTGCATTGGTTTGTGCTCATCTGAGGCATTTAAACCTTTTTACATGAACTGTTTTTGCGAATTTCATCCCACGTTCCTTGTTGTTACTTAGAATACTACGCTTCACCTCTTGAAAGCCACTTTTGGTCTTTTATCCTTTTCATAGTTGTGGTAATATTTAACCCTCCAACTACTGGTATTTTTAGTTACATTTGATTTCGCGTTCTCTTCCCCATAACGTTAACTTATCAACGTGGTTTTGGCGACTCACTGCAACATTGGATCAGGGATTTCCTTATCGGACGGATGACCATTTAAATGACTTATCCTTCAACTGATGGTGTGCTCAAAGTCTGTACTGGACCGATTTCTGTTCCTGATCCACATCAACGAGTTACCTTAGCTTCTTCCGTCGTCTTGTTTCTTTCACTGTAGACCTACAAGTTTTGATAGGGATTAATTTTGACGAAGACTGTGACATATTTCATTAGAATATGAACCGCCTGTCCGTGGGGCCTACTAGGTCTGCCCATCCCAGGAAACATCTCTTGACATGGTACTCCAGTGATGATCATACAGCAAATCAGATAGAATACATCTTAATCCGATCCCAGTGGATGCTCTCCATCGATGATTGTCGAGCGCACAGAGGGGCTGAAACGGGCAATAAAGGTGGTTCGGACCACGTACTCCTGCCCGCCAAATTCAGGCTCCGATCGACAACACACCGGAAGGCACTTCCACCAAAGCATATCAACACTACTCTATTGGAAAATACTGACTGCTGCCGATCTCTTGAGAGAGCAATTTCTGCCAAAGCACCACGCCTCGTATCTGCAGAAGATGACTTTGTCGACGCTCGTTGGTCTAGGCTGAAATCGTCAGTTTATGCGCTGTTTTATCTACCCTGGACTCTACCTCAGCCTGTGAAGCACTGAATCAATGAAGTTCATATCCGCTAAAAGCAAGAAGCCCGTCTTACGAATTAGTAAGACTATCGTCGCTTGAGGCGTGAGGTAACCCGCTCAGCACGAAATGATCGCAACTGCTACTGGTCTATTATCGCAAGCAGCATGGAAACTTCATCAAATTCTGGTAGTTTGGGTCATCTTTTTCGACTCGTCCGTTTAGTTTCTGGCAAGCGCTATTCACCACAGCCGATTTTGCGCAATTTGGATGACCAAATCATCCACGATACGGAAGCAAAACTTTCCAGATGGGTAGAGTATTTTAGCAACCTCCTAAACCGCCCACTACACGCCGCTTCACCCATTTCAGCATTAACCCAGTCAGGATATGACGCGGATTGCCCACCACAATCTCCCACAGAAATTGTAGACATTGTTCGTCGCCTGAAGCCGAAGAAAGCTCCTAGAGCGGACGGGATTTCAGCAGAAATCTACAAAGCTTGTCTACTAGCTCTCCCGCCTATTTGCGCTAGCTCTTCTGCTTGATATGGGATACCGGTATCTGTCCTGCCTCATGGACGGCGTCAGCACTTCTGCCACTTCTTAAGTAAGGTGACCGAACTGTGTGCAGTCATTATCGCGGGATAAGCCTAATCTATATGGCTGCTAAAACCTTCGCACTAATGTTGCATTGCCAATGTGAGGAACCTGCGAGCTCGCCATAACCAAGGTGGTTTTCGTCCAGGCAGTGACTGCACTGACCGAATCTTCACTCTACGTCGGGTACTCGAACACTACTACCAGTTCCAGCAGCCTACGTTAGTGTGCTTTGTTGATTTTCGTGCTGCCTTTAACTCAGTTGACCGCGAAGCACTGGTGAATCCTACTTGCCGATGGCGTACCACTTAAACTCGTTAACCTGTTGGAATCGTACTACCGTTGCACGATGGCCCGGATTCGGTCTGTGGAGAACAGAGGAATTCGACATCCATACTGGAGTCCGGCAGGGTTGCCCACTTTCTCCAAAACTGCTCAAATTCGCAGTAGATTGGGTTAGCATCATCATGCCCTTGAGCGCTATCCTGGTGTTCAAGTTCGCCCTGACTTCTGGCCACCAGACCTGGAATTTGCTGACGATAACGTTATCCCTGCAGTAAATCCTATATCACTACAAACACTGCCAAATCGGCTCGACCAATCATACTCTATGATCGGCCTCGAAATCAACATCAGCAACATGAAGTACTTCTCATCTTCAGCCACCTATTCCGCCCCGTTACTTTGCTTACACGCTCAACTCACCGAATCCGTTCCTGAATTCAGTTATGTTGGATCCACTATTCTCCCCAGTGGTCAGGCTACATCCGAAATCCGGAATCGTATTGACCGCTAGAACAGCCTTCTTGCAAATGAGAAACACGTTGTGGCAAAGGGCGGTAGGTAGTCTGCGAACGAGACTCCGAGTATTCTCAGCAACCGTTCTTGCCATTTTACTCTATGTTTGCGAAACCTGGCCGCTGCGATCAGAAGACACCCGGAAGCTGGAAGTCTTCGACCATTGGTGTCTAAGGCTTCTCTTGAGCACGCAGTGGCATGAGAGTATCACCAGCGCCGCAGACTCCAGTGATTCGGTCATGTCCTTCGCAGACCGTACGCTGACTGCACGAGGGCCGTACTTCCACCCTCGCCTTGCCAGGGTAGGTATAGTCACAGCTGTGGACAATGGAATATGTGGCTGGCTGCAGTGGAATGGGATGTCGATCTTCTTGGACTCCAGCTTGTGCATGGCGCTCGTCATTGGAGAAATCACTGGATCAGTATCTGCGTGCAGCTGGCCGCCGACCGCCACGCTTGGGCAGTTGCAATCCGCGACATTCATGAAGTCGACTCATCCTAGCTCAGGGGCTAGCCCCGGTAAAGTCAAGTAAATAAGTCACAACAGGTACTGAAAAAATCGAATCATTTGGGATTGAAGATCCTCTCCCGGGTTGGTTGACATCATATTCAAATGGGCGTTACCAAATTGTCACTCTGAGTAATAAATAAATTGTATATTCCTCGGTGATGTGAGAAGCGGTTACCCAGAAGGAACAGATCAACTAATGGTACATCCTTTTCTTGCCACTGCAGTAATAATTTTTTTCAAAAATGAACATGGACGCAGTTTCAAACTTAGGTAACACAAATTAATTAGAACCGTTCAGCTAATTTTTTCCTGTCGTCGAACAAAGGTTCTTCACAATCGCATGACAGTGGTGGGATCGAGAACAAAATTAATTCAAATAAAAGGGAGTGTGATCCACAATGTTGTATATGCGTTTTGAAAATTTATTCAGGCACCATCGATGCGGTTTTCGAAAGCGTTATCTAGGGATTGTGATGTCCCGAACATATGAATCACGTTTTGGACGGTTAGCTACATACTAATCGCAAGCTTAAAAGTGCAACGTATATATCACGTTCTGACATCTCCGGGCAGTTTGTTCTTAATTAGATTAGAAAGAAACGTTCTGATTCTCTTAGTAAATTTTGGAATCCTGACTATCGCTTTGTGACGGATTGGATAACTGCTGTTTAAAGATATGTGAGCACCGTTATCAAGACTGTGAATATGAAGATTTCTGATCCCGTAAGGGAGACATACATTCAGCTTCATTCTTCAAAGCCAGACTGGGTCAAATCCAAGTTTATCACGTCGCTCTCTGTATGTCAGCTTTAAGGAATGCTCACAAAACTTTTCGTGAAACGTCTCTGGACCTTCTCAAGAGCATGCTGGTCAGATTTCCGCAGATTAGACTGGACTACTGACAGTATTCCATTCACGGCAATACATATGTTCTATAATGCCATATGCGAGATTCCGTGAGGTAAAAATAGTGGTAGATGTAACCGATGGTCCTCATGGCTTTCGAAACTTGAAATTCAATGTTCAGAAAATTTAGACGTAAATGAATATCGCACGCCCAAGGCGCCAACTGCGCTGCATTGCGAGATACATGCGCTTTGTAGTAATAACTTGTCTGGTGGTACTTGGCATTTTACTACCAAATATTACACTTGTCCACGGCAAATGACCTGCCACAGTTGGGAACAGGAGTCACATTCAAATTGGTCATCCTTACTGAGACCTACGGCTTCCTAGGTATTTGCATGTGTTTGTGTGTAGGCTACTTTAATGTCAGCATCAAAGACAAACCTAACGCCATTTCTTATTCTTTGCAATATATAGTTAATATGTAGTAGAAAAAGAAGCGGACCAAGCTCTCTTCCTTGAATCCCCTCACTAGTGATTACTTTCGGCTTAAAGAAATGGTCGCCGATGCGAACCACCTGCTGTCTACCAGTCAGCTACGAAGACAGCCAAGAAAATATCAGCTGTCCAATGCTATTGGCCTTCAGTTTCTTTACTAGCTTTCTGTGAGGCATGCCATCAAAGGCTTTTTGCATTTCCAGGAACAGGATTACAACACTGTTTCTTTTGTCTATGGCAGCCGTTGTGTGGTTTGAAAAGTCTGTCTGGCATATTGCGCAGGATCAACCTTGCATGAAGCCGTGCTGCGAATTGCTCTTGATGTTTGCCTTTTTCGAGAATACAAATAGATCATCTTTCACTATCCTTTTTATTATTCTAGATAGACGATGGGTGTGTGATTGATGGGACGAAAGTTTTTGACCCCCTTGGGCAGCGCCATTTTTCTGTCGCGGGATAACGACAGACGTTTTCCATTGAGTAGGGTATACTCCGTTGTTAAAATAGAGTGTAAAGATGTTGAGCAAATGCAGAGGGAAGTTACTACCACTGCTTTTTATTACACAAGGGGGATCCCATCAGGGCCTGCGCAAGTTGAAGAGCTTCAGCGAGAGACTTGACTAGTGATTTTCGCTACAGTGAATTCCACTGTGCATAGACTTTCGCTGTTGTGCTGCATGATACGTTCTGGTGTGTCTGATGATTCCTTGACCAAAAGACGCACTGAAAGCTTCGCCGATATCACCTGGTGCGTCGTAGTATGTTCCATCAGGCGTAGTGATAAAATTAGACTTATTGGTGCGATGCGAATCCCCGGGCACGGAATAGTTTGAC